ATCGGCCGCCACGTGCATTTAGGCCGCTGCGTCTACATAGGCCGGCATGTGTACGGCCTAGTAGGGCAGAATTGGGTTTAGAGTTAGCACTGCTCTGACTGCGTTTAATATAAGCTACGCAAGTTAATGACTGAAATAAGGTTTACTGTCATGGCAATTTAAGCGTTAGGCTGGGATAACATTGATGTTTTATTTTATGTCGAAACTTTTCTCTGATGCAAGGATTCACGTGTTTGTGATTTTGTCAGGAAATTGTAATCGTATTGACTCCAAGTCTTGATGTTAAAATAATTTTCGAGTTACAGTATTTTTTTCAATTGGGGATACCTATCTCGAATGCAATTGATAATTAATGTACCTACAGTAAGAAATAATTGTCAACACTGACTTGTAAAAATGATATTCATACGCACTTATTTGCCTTTATTTGTACTTTAATTCTATCGTACATGCTTATTTTTTAGTTTAAAAAATCAAATTTGTTGAGAAATTTATCTAAAATTCAAAAAGAGCTCCACGAACTATTTACTCTGTTCAAAGCGTTAGAAAGTAAATTTAATGGCGTTTGCAATGCATCAGTAAACATTTCATCACGTTAGTTGTAGTAACTTGTCTCTCGTGCTCTGATGACGTAGCTGGCGCTACTGTCCTTGTAACAGCTGCATGCGCATCCGGCGAGTGTTGCTTATAGATAAACATTACGAATCATTCTAGGTCTCGTGCCCGTATCCATACTACCATGTTTCTGAAAACACAAATATCTGTAATGTACACAAATAAGTTGAAGTAAATCTGGTGGCCTTGCATCTTGAGGGACTCCTCGTCACGCTTGTCGTCATTTCTTGGGGCAGTTTTGCATGCAAGTTTTTTTTTTCAAAAAATAGAAACCATCATAATCTGTACCAATCACGGGTTGCATTTGTCAATATTAAACTAACTTTAGCGATATTGGCATACATTAGCCATCAGTTTCCATGAACTTCGTGAAGACTTCTTATTGGAAATTATCGAGCAATTTGACGTCCTTTAATAATAACGCATAAATGTCGGACCCTTGGATGCTTCATAACCGGTGAATATCTTATCTGAAATTAGGACTGGGTGATGAACCAAAGTGAATCAAAATGTGTTCATTGTTCAGTTCTTGATGTTTTTTCCTTCTTTTATTGCTGTTTTGGACTGCAAAACTACTTACGTATTCTGGTTCTCGTTTGTTTCGAATTCTCTCGAAGCCTATTTGAAATTCGTTGCGTTGCTATTCATTAAGCACCGATACATCAGATGTTCTTTGTTCCATCATCTAAAATGTCGATAAAAGATACACGAAGCTCTAATGGAGTTCAAGGTCATTACAGAGCAGTGAAGATGCAATAAATATCCCGTTAATAATGATGTAATATCCCGTTAATAATGATGTAATATCCCGTTAATAATGATGTAATATCCCGTTAATAATGATGTAATACCCCATTAATAATGATGTAATAGCCCCTTAATAATAATGCAATATTCCGTTAAAATTGTGTAAAATCCTATTAATAATAATAATATATATCTTTCCTAATGTATAATCTCTTTAGATTCTCTGCCTAACTCATACTCATCGCTTTGATATTTCTAAATCAGCCATTATCTTTTATTTGTTGGCTTCTTTCAAAACTATTATATACTTGCATGAATTTATGTATAATTATTCGTTCAGACCTTCGTTTGCCTAATAGATTATTACTGATTGAAAGATTTGTTTCGCAAATATTGTATATTCACGTAACAAATATTAATGTTAGATTATTTTTGCAAAAATATGATAATTACGTAATTTTTTATTGTTATTACAAGATAGCAAATGTCATTAACTGGGTCTGAAATGACTAGTAGAGCCCTTCCCAAAACAATGTCCAAATTTGAGCTGTTGGCTGTGGGGTGTCTCAGCGATAATAATGAACGTCAGTCGGTACTCACTCCCATAATAACTGCAGCTTCGTGTCGGACAGGAGCTTCCTCGTCCAGTATTGATTAGGTTATAGGCCGCTGAGCTGAAAATGCGGTCCAAACACAGCGACGACTAAGCATATTGCGCCCTGTTTTCTAGCAACTCAACTGCTGCGGCGGTGCACTTGGATATGCACTCTGAAAATAAGTATTTGATTCGTTTTACTGACGCGTCATGCCTCATTTCCGTTTAAATTTGTGGAAATTTGTTTAAATTGATAAAATATATTTATTTATATCCAATCATCAATTACCTCGTAGAATTGAATAATTACCTTGTATAATAATATACATTGCAAACCTACGTGTGTAGGTTTGAGGAGTTTGAAGAAAACATAACGTCATTACCTACTTATATCATTAGTCTGCTTATAGCGCAAGTTCACAAGGAATTTAAAAGCAAAGAAAACGCCAAGAAAATTCACCATATCGATATTGAAAACGTTTCGGAGTCCAGCTCCATCATCAGTTCGACTAAACTAAAAATGAATAAAATCACTTTAAAAGTCAAAATTCAAAGACAGACATAAAACCTAAACAAGACCTAACATTATATCGAAATAAACAGGACTAGTTATGAACAACTTAGTCCTA